ATCGAGTCATTGCGCTGGAGCGTGGGCAACAAGAGTGAAACTCCGTCTCAAAAAAAAAAAAAGAAGCTGTTTGCATACAGGATGAATCCAACAAACCTGGCTCTGGTATCTGGGGCTGGCAGGTCTGCAAAGAGGCTGCATCTGAGAGGCCTCTCTTTGCAGGGTCTGCTTTAAAAAGAAACCCCTGGCTGGGCGAGGTGCTCATGCCTGTAATCAATTCCAGCACTTTGGGAGGCCGAGGCAGGTGGATCACCTGAAGTCGGGCATTTGAGACCAGCCTGACCAACATGGAGAAACCCCGTCTCTACTAAAAAATACAAAATTAGCCCAGCATGATGGCTCATGCCTGTAATCCCAGCTACTCAGGAGGCTGAGGCAGGAGAATCACTTGAACCAGGGAGTCGGAAGTTGCGGTGAGCCGAGATCATGCCATCGCACTCCAGCGTGGGCAACAAGAGCAAAACTCCGTTTCAAAGCGCGCACACACCCCTCCACCACACACACACACACAGAAAACCCTCAACAAATGGCATGCTGAGGCCTCATCCCAGGTCTCTCAAAAAGCTGAACATTTTGAGTTCTCCGGTGTCCAGGGTTGTGGCCAAGATTAATGATAAAAGAGGAGAAACAGGCCTGCAGACTTGGCCAACCTGTTCAAGGAGCCACACCTCTCCGTTCCAGTCCAAACCTTTGGCACTGGGGTTTCTGAAATGGGGGTCCTCCGCAGGGGGAATGCAGAGGGGGGTCCCACTCCCTGCACCGGGCGTTCCCAAGGGCAGCCCCGAGTCGTGGCCCGATGGCTGAGTCACAGGAGGAGGAGATACTGCAGTCACGAGAGACTCAGCCCAAGACAAAGATCGGGTGGCCCAATCCCGCCTGGCCCACCCCAAAACCAGATCGGCGGTGTGAGGCTGGTGGCGGTGGGGGAGCAAGGCTCTCTCTCCTCCATGATGGGCGTGTCTCGTCTCTTTGGCCTTGCTCTGGGAGGGGCCGCCTCACACCCCCACAGACCACGGGGCTGCATGTGACCAGGGCTCTGGCACGGCCGCGGTGCCCCCGCCCAACCCCGAAGGCAGAGCCCCTCAAGCTCCCTCGGGGAAAGGTGGCACTAACCGTCACTCACAGTCACAGACTGCAATTACCCAGGGGGTGAGTGTTTGGTGGGCAGGGGTACAGGTGTGGTTTTAATGGGGATGGTAGGGACTGTAGAGTCGTTCTGCGCATGCGCAATGGCGCCTTATTGTTCCCCGCCCCCCCACCAGCACCGCTTATGGGCGGCGGCCACAACTACAAATGGTTGGGGAGGGGGCGATAATTCCGTCTTCCCTCCTCACATAAATGCGGTTCTCCAGGAGTCCCAAAACACAAGTTCCTTTCCTACGCTTTCCATGCTCGTGCACCCAGGACCGCGAGTCTTCCCGCCCTGCCACACCCCCAGCGCCCGCCCACTGGTGCCCCACTGCCCCTTGGCCTCCGCAGCCCTGCCCTGCGCAGCCCGCTCACCTTGCGGTCGCTGACTCCCTCGCCCACGGCGATCACGACGCCCGCGCCTTCCATGCCCGGAGTGACGGGCAGCGGCGGGAGCCGGTCGTACAGCCCCTGCCTGGCCATGAGGTCTGCGAAGTTGAGCCCGCAGGCCCGCACGCGCAGTGTCAGCTGGCCAGGCCCGGGGGCCGGGGGCGCGGCCGGCCGGCTCTGCAGCTTCACCTTGTCGTAGCCTCCAAAGCCAGTGAGCACCAGGCAGCGCAGCGGCGGCGGCGAGGCGGCGGCGGCGGCCCCTTCAGAGGCTGCGGGCTGCTGGGGGTCGCTCGCTGCCTCGGCTTTCGGGTGCGGCGAAGAGGCGTCTTCCCCGGCCCCTGCCTCGGCCGCCGCCACCACGGTGGCCGCCTCAGCTACCTCTCTCTCGGCGGACATGGCTGGGACTCCCGACGACAGCGCACAGCTGGACGGAGAGTACACAGCTGGGGAGGGCGGGGCGCGTCGAGAAGAGCCGCGGCAGCGAGCTCCAGCGGGAGGGGCGGGGCTGGAGGGGGGGCGCCGGGAGGGGGCGGAGCCTCGCGCGCAGACTTAAAGGGCCAGGGCTACAGCGGCGCGAGCTGGGAGAGCACGAAAAAGGGAACAAGGAACGTCGGTGGTCCTGGGATCAAGCAGGCCGCGATTTATTTATTCATATTCAACCTTATTCAAATTAAAAACTATGTTAAGGGATAGGCCGGGCACGGTGGCTCACGCCTGTAATCCCAGCACTTTGGGAGGCTAAGGCCGGTGGGTCATTTGAGGTCAGGAGTTCAAGACCAGCCTGGCCAGCATGGTGAAACTCCCGTCTTTACTAAAAATACAAAAATTAGCCGGGCAGTAGTGGCAGGAGCCTGTAATCCCAGATACTCGGGAGGCTGAGGCAGGAGAATCGCTTGAGCCTGGGAGGCGGAGGTTACGGTGAGCAGAGATTGCGCCACTGCACTCCAGTCTGGGCGATAGAGTGAGATTCTGTCTCAAGAAAAAAGTTAAGGGGCAGTCCCAAAACTTGAACTTACATGAGATTTCATATTTGGCGAGTCAGCCACCCGTGGACTGGAGCCCAATTAAATTGTGTCTCAGGCTTTGACTCTACCTTTATGTAACCCAGGTAGGGATGAGACTTCATTCACTCTGATCTTGAAGAGGCAAAGTAGGAGCATGGAGACAAAGCCTTTAAAACTTTCTGACTTTGGTGTTAATGTTCTGTTCCTCAGTTTCCCTTCTATAAAATAGTAATGATGCTATGTGCTCTGGTTATGTTTTTATTTTTTATTTTTTTTTTAATACAGGGTCTCACTCTGTCACCCAGGCTGACGAGGTAGTGCGATCACGGCTCCCTGCAGCGTGAAACTCCCGGGGCTCAAGCAATCTTCCCACCTCAGCCTCCTGAATAGCTGGGACCACAGGCGTGTGCCGCCACGCCCAGCTAATTTTATTTTTTATTACTCTTTGCAGAGCAGGGCTACCCCATAGGCAGTGTGCCTAGAGTGGTCAAACCCAGATAATTTTTAATTTATTTTATTTATTTTATTTTTTTTTTGAGACGGAGTTTCGCGCTTGTTACCCAGGCTGGAGCGCAATGGCGCCATCTCGGCTCACCGCAACCTCCGCCTCCTGGGTTCAGGCAATTCTCCTGCCTCAGCCTCCTGAGTAGCTGGGATTACAGGCATGTGCCACCATGCCCAGCTAATTTTTTGTAGTTTTAGTAGAGACGGGGTTTCACCATGTTGACCAGGATGGTCTCGATCTCTTGACCTTGTGATGCACCCGCCTCGGCCTCCCAAAGTGCTGGGATTACAGGCTTGAGCCACCGCGCCCGGCCCTTAATTTATTTTTTCTAGAGACAAGGTCTCACTACGTTGCCCAGTATGGTCTTGAACTCCTGCACGTAAGCATGCCTCCCAAAGTGCTGAAATTACAGGCGTGAGCCACCGCGTTCGGCTTCTAGTTATTGCCTCAGCCTCCCCAGTAGCTGGGACTACAGGCACGCGCCACCATGCCCGGCTAATTTTTGTATTTTTAGTAGAGACGAGGTTTCACTATATTGGCCAGGCTGGTCTCGAACTCCTGACCTCGTATTCTGCCTGTCTCGGCCTCCCAAAGTGCTGGGATTACAGGCATGAGCCACCACATCCGGCCAAAAGAGCACTTTTTTTTTTTTTTTTTGAGACAGAGTCTTGCTCTGTCACCAGGTGCCAGGCTGGAGTGCAGTGATGCGATCTCGGCTCACTGCAGCCTCCACCTCCCAGGTTCAAGCAATTCTTCTGCCTCAGCCTCACGTAGCTGGGACTACAGGCGCGTGCCACCACGCCCAGCTAATTTTTGTGTTTTCCACCGTATTGTAATTTTGTATTTTTCACCATATTGGCCAGGCTGGTCTCAAACTCCTGACCTCGTAATCCACCCACCTTGGCCTCCCAAAGTGCTGGGATTACAGGCGTGAGCCACCACGCCGGGCCAAAAGCAGTTTTAAAAGGTAAAGCCTACAAAAATTAGCAGAGCATGGTGGCGTGCGTCTGTAGTCCCAGCTACTCGGGAGGCTGAGGCAGGAGAATTGCTTGAACTCGGCAGTCGGAGGTTGCAGTGAACTGAGTGAGATTGCGCCCCTGCACTCCAGCCTGGGCAACAGAGCGAGACTCGTCTCAAAATAAATAAACAAATAAATAAAATAAAAGGTAAAAAATGCCATGCAAATGCGTTATCAGTGGTTTGATTATTGTTAGACTCTGAATGCAGCCTGACTTTGGGCTTAGCTCTGGCTCCAGCAGAGCAGGGCTGTCACCGTGGCGGTTATTTCTCTTCCTCCTCATCTCTTTCTCCCCAAGCATCCACCAGAGGACGCAGCGCCCCCAAAACTTTGCACCCAGTGCTTGGCTGGAGGAACTCAGTCCATGCTTCTCTGCTGGTCTGGGCCCGCGGTTAAGTCAACGAAACCCGAGACCCGGCTGCCCGTTGCCATGGGGACGGAAAGCTATGACGTCACCACCGTCCGGTGGGTGTGCTGGGGTTCACCCTCCCATTTCCCCAAGACCTCCTGCCGGGACATGAGCGGAGGCGGGAGAGAAAACGAAAAAGGCTCCCTTCTTCCCCTAGCATCTTTCTCCCTCCGTGTTCAGGGAGTGGATGGCTGTTGCTGTGCTGTCCGCACGGGCACACCTGCGTGCACGCGTGGGTACACAGCAGGCCCCAGCTTCGCGCGTGTGCCGCTCACATTCTAACCCTAAGAACTTCGCCTGAACTCTACCCTGCCCTTATCTCCAAGGAAGTCCTATAAGCCCTGTTCGGCAGATCCCAAACCGGCAGGGGCCCCTCAGAGCAAGCTGGCGCGCTGGACCCCGGCTCTGAGGCCTCTGTTCCTGGGGCTCCGCCCAAATCTGCTGGGCCCCGCCCCCTGGCTGCGCGGGTGGGAGGCGGGGCCGGGGGGGCGCGGCCGCCGGGCTGGGGGCGGGGCGGAGGGGGGGCCGCAGTCCCGGGGCGGGGGCTCAGCGCGAGCCCGCGAGATGCCGGTGTCGGCTGCCCGAGCGGCTGCAGCTGCAGCGGCGGGGGAGGCGGCGGCAGAGGAGGCGGCGGGGCCCGGGAGGGGGGTGGCGTGGGGGACCGGCGCGTAGCCGGGACCATGGAGGGGCAGAGCGGCCGCTGCAAGATCGTGGTGGTCGGAGATGCGGAGTGCGGCAAGACGGCGCTGCTGCAGGTGTTCGCCAAGGACGCCTATCCCGGGGTGAGGGACCGGTGTCTTCGGAGGGGGACGCTAAGGCTGCTGGGGGTGGGTGACAGGGGCCCTGGGGACGGATGGGAACGGGTACTCGGGTAACCAGGGACAAGAGAGGGGGCCTCGGAGGACGAGGGGGAGACGTTGGGGGCTCAGGAAGGACTGCAGAGGATTGGGGTGGGAGGAATTAGGGAGCAGGGTGAGAGATGGTTGGGGTTTGGGAGAACCAGAGCATCTGGGAGGGAGGGCAAGGGGAATGTCGGAGGTCCTGGGCAATGGAGAGGGGAAGAACTAGGGGGCTGAAGGTACGAGAAAGGACCAGGAGGAGGACTGGGAGCTTAGCAGAGATTCTGCGGGGGGTGGGGGGGGCAGGAACTCCTGGGATCTCCCCTTTGCCCAATCCCAGACCAACTTGTGTACAGGGGCAGGGCTGGACCGGGTGTGGGAGTGAGGAGGGCATTTGTCTGTGGTGAGGACTTGGAGAGAGGATCTCATCTGGATCCATCCATATCTGCAGAGTTATGTCCCCACCGTGTTTGAGAACTACACCGCGAGCTTTGAGATCGACAAGCGCCGCATTGAGCTCAACATGTGGGACACTTCAGGTAGCCAAGTCCCTGGGGGTCACCCTGGCTTCCAAGGTGGCCCACTCTGTCCCCTCCCTTGGCTAGATCCTTAGGTTCCAGGTCAGCCCAGCCCATCCATCTAATTCCAGCAGGAAGGAAAAGTCAATTTTCTACTTAAAGCCAGGGAAACTGAGGCAGAACTTGCAAAGCCTGACAGAAACCATGTCCTGAATGAGAAAGCCTAGGATCTGGGCCCCTCAACTGGGTTCTGCCTACCTGGGAAAGTTGGGAAGGAATGGCTTTTAATTTGGAACATGTTTCTTAGGAGATAAGTCTGGGTTTAGAAAAGACATTTAGCGGTGGCTCACACCTGTAATCCTAGCACTTTGGGAGGCCAAGGTGGGCAGATTACCTGGGGTCAGGAGTTCGAGACTGGCCAACATGGTGAAACCCACAAAAATTAGCCGGGTGTATGGTGTGCGCTTGTAATCTCAGCTACCCAGGAGGCTGAGGCAGGAGAATCACTGGAACCTGGGAGGCAGAGGCTGCAGTGAGACAAGATCCAGCCACTGCACTCCAGGCTGGGTGACAGAGTGAGACTCTGTCTCAAAAAAAAAAAAAAAAAAAAGAGAAGACATTTAGAATGTCTTGAGTGAAGGGCGGGCATTGGGACTATTTCTCTCAACTGAACTAGAAATCTGAGGTCAAGTCCCAGGAGGATGGGAGTATTCTCCCTGCCACTGCTTTTTCTCCACCTGGCCCAGGGAGGGTTATTATTTTTACAAGAGTTCCCTTCAGGGATTAGGTTGCCAAAGCCCAGAAAGCACATGCAACATTTCATGAGAATGTAGATTTCCTGAGCTTCTCAAAGGGGTCCAAACCTCAGTCAAGATTAAAATTATTGCTTTTTAAACCCCTAGGGAAACAGAGAGCCATTTCCCACCATCTCACCTCCCTTCTGCCTGTTCCCTCGCTTGGGAAACACAGACTCTATGATGAGTATCAATGATTGCTCTTTTCCATTCTCTGCTCCCGGCATCCCTTGACCAAGCTCTCTAAGGTCTCCCATTCCCTTCCAGGCCTCCCACCCACTCAGGCCCCTCATGCTCTGTCTTCCTTCAGGTTCCTCTTACTATGATAACGTCCGGCCTCTGGCCTATCCTGATTCTGACGCTGTGCTCATCTGCTTCGACATTAGCCGACCAGAAACACTGGACAGTGTTCTCAAGAAGGTGGGAGCCTGGGGAAATAGGGCAGCTACACCAAGGGGGACCAGACACCATTGTCCTGACACACGGTGGGCCAGGAGGAGGGAGTGATGGCTGGGGTATGGCCATCAGCTGGTTAGCAGGTGAAGTTCTCATCCCTGCCACCCCTTCCTCCAGCCCCCATCCCTCCCAGCCACCCCCTTTCTGAAAGTCCTCAGAGCTAAGGGAGGTGGGGGAGTGAAGGGAGAAGTACTCACAGGATTCCTCCTCTGCTCTTCCCAACTCCTTGGGGTTGAGAGCCTCAGATGGAGGAGATGGGATGGGAATGCTGATCCTGGAGCTCAGCAAAGCCCTGTGGCCTCCTCTCCAGGCCCCTATTTCCATGAGAAAAGCTGGTGGTGAATGGACAGAAGTCAGCTAGGGCAGCCCCAGTTCCCAGGTGGGGGAGGGGAGGGGAGGGGAGGATAAGTTTGTTCCCAGGAAAGAGAGTATGGGAAAGGCGAGTGGGAATGGGAAGGTTCCAGGCTGGCAGACCCTTCATAGCCACTGTGGGAGAAGAGTCCGCAGGCCCACACCAGCCCTCTCCTCCCCCTGCTTCCCTCTCACTCCATCCTGCTCTCAACCCAAGCCTAGCATTCTCACCTCCTTCCTCATGTGGAGAGTCCAGAGGGATACATGGTTTCTGCACGCTGTGAGGAAGAGAGGGCACACTGCTGGCATGGAGCAGGGGCTCACCCTGTGCCTCCCTCCACCCCTCCACAATTCTCTTTTCTTCCCCTACATAGTGGCAAGGAGAGACTCAAGAGTTTTGCCCCAATGCCAAGGTTGTGCTGGTTGGCTGTAAACTGGATATGCGGACTGACCTGGCCACACTGAGGGAGCTGTCCAAGCAGAGGCTTATCCCTGTCACACATGAGCAGGTGGGACCCTTGACCTCGGACTTCTGACAGCCTAGACCTGTCACCTCTACCCCTTCAGTCTCTGATTTGAAAACACCCTACCTGGCTCATCCCTTGTCCTGGCCTGTGACCTCTGACCTGATCCCTTGACCGCCCCCAGCCGTGACCTTCAACCCCAGCCCTCAGCCTCCATGTCCCTTTCTAAACTTCAGGCTAAGACGTATAACTTTCTCCCATGCACTCCTTTTCCAGGGCACTGTGCTGGCCAAGCAGGTGGGGGCTGTGTCCTACGTGGAGTGCTCCTCCCGGTCCTCTGAGCGCAGCGTCAGGGATGTCTTCCATGTGGCCACCGTGGCCTCCCTTGGCCGTGGCCATAGGCAGCTGCGCCGAACTGACTCACGCCGGGGAATGCAGCGATCCACTCAGCTGTCAGGACGGCCAGACCGAGGGAATGAGGGCGAGATACATAAGGATCGAGCCAAGAGCTGCAACCTCATGTGAGGGGCTAGGAGGGGGCAGGGTGTGAAGCGGGTGGTGAGGGACACAATTGTTTCCCTGCCTGCGCCCAGGCTTCCTGACCTCCTGAGCCTGTCTGGGAAGTCTGGGCAGGCAGAGCAAGCAATTCTTCTGGCAGGGGAGCTGGAGGGCAGAAGGGCATCATTTCTCATATCCTCCTCCCTTCTCTTCTCCAGTGGATGTTGAGGGAGCTGACAGGGCTGGCATCTGGGGCATGAACTGGGATGGGGCAGGTGGGGGTTAGGGAAGCTGGTATCAAACAGTGACCTCAGTGGAGTCTCCTATGTGAAGGGTACCCTCCCTCTCCACCCCCACCCTCCATATCCTGGTTCTCCATATCCAAGGAAAATGTCCATTCTGTGACCTTCTCTTTTCCTCTCTTCTCACTTGTGCAGCTGTTCTCACTCATCTTAACCTCTAGGCAACATGCACTAAATTCAAAAGCAAGGAGAAACCCCTCCCCCCATCAGTCCACAAGGCTTAGAACCTCCCTTGCCCCAGTAGTCACCCAATAAAGCCCAAGTCCATGGAAAACGGCTGTGGCTTTAGTTTCATTGCTTTTTAAAAAATCAATCTACCAATCTCTAGCAGTAGGAGGGAAAGTTAGACCTCAGCAGGGGAACTTTCCTGTCCATGTCCACAGGTGGAGCAGAGGACAAAGCCATAGTTTGGATCATTAGTGTCCTTTTAGGAGCCAGAATTGGGAGGAGACACCCTGGGACTGTTCATCCCAGTTAATGAAGTGGGCAATTCTCAGGCCATTAGGGGGTTTTAGAGCAGCTGACATGCAATTAGTCAGCATTTCTCAGCCCAGCCAGGCCTGCTGCTAGTGGGAGCTAGCTCACCATCAGTACACTCACCATCAGATCCTGCTCACCATCAGTACCCCTGGCTTGGAGCTTGCTGGTGCCCTGGGGATTGCAGGGGTAGGGAGGCATCAAAAGGCTCCACGTCACAGAAGCTAACCCTGTACAGTGTGCAGTGTCCCCCAAGGGGTCAGTAGTTTGATTCTGGGGTCTCCTGAGGGGCTCGGGCCAGGGACCTTTCTCTCCTTCCATGCTGAGTTCCTTGATGACTTTCAGGGGAGCATCAGCTGTGAGTTAGAGTCACCCTTACCCTGTCTCTTAAAGGAAAGACGGTGGAGGGGATTGCCGAGCGCCTGTTGTCAGGAAAGACAGTGCTGGTCTGTTTTCTCGGAGTCTGGTTTCAGATTGTCCTGTATTCCCTCCCTGGCTGTGGTCCCACTGGCCTCTTTTCGGTGACATTCTCCCCCAGGAACCATCCCTGGCCCTTCCCTCCCCCAGCTCCACCCCCTGCCCCAGCCCCAGCCAGTTCTTCCAGACACTGAAGAGAACATTGATCTTATGGGACTATCTGTGGGATCCCACCCAAATTTATAGCCCACTCCTTCATTTAGCAAATATGTACTGAACACCAAGTGTGTGTCACACACTGGCTTGGGAGATTGCAAGGACCAGTCTCTCAGCTTCTGGAGGCCAGCCCAGTGTGGAGGAGCAGTATCTCAGGTGTGAAGGTGCCGTGGCTGAGGGATTTTTTTTTTAATTTAAATTTTGTTTAACAGTTCTGGGTATGGAGGCCGAGAGATATTTGTACATGTATGGGGTGCTATGGGAGCTCTTTTGCAGCCTGAGAAGCCAGTCCTATGAGCCAGGGCCTGAGGGTTGAAGAGGAGTTTGCCAGGTGGGGAAGGGGTAGGAAAGGCACTCTGGGCAGAGGGTACAGCATGTGTAAACACGTGGGGATGAGAACGAGCATGGCACTGTTGGGGCTCCCATGGCAGGGAGAGTAGAAGACAAGGCTGGGAAAAGGAACCAGGGTTTCATTCTGAGGATGTGAGGAGCCACCAGGAATTTCAGGCAGAGAGTGAAGTGATCAGATTTGTTTTTTGGATAGATGGTTATCTGGATGAGGTATTAGGGCTGGGAGATTTGGCTTTGAGATGTGCCATTTAAAATAGCTTCTCAGTGGTGGCTCACACCTATAATCCCAGCACTTTGGGAGGCCAAGCTGGGAGGATGGCTTGAGGCCAGGAGTTCGAGGCTGCAGTGAGCTATGATCATGCCATTATCTTCTAGCCTGAGTGTCAGAGTGAGATCCTGTCTCTAAAAAAAAAAAAAAAAATAATAATAATGGAAGCCAGAAGGCAGAGGAATGACACCATATACCAAGAGCTAAAAAAAAAAAAAAAAAGCTTCTCCTTTCCCTTATGCCAGGTTCTAGTCTTGAGAGAACAGGAAATCCCTACCCACTACTGCCTGGCTCATCAGATACCACTATCCCAACCTCTCTTATGTGACTGGTCCATATCAGCCAGTCTGAAAGTCTAGGACACTTCAACGACATTTGAAATTAAGTGCTCTTGGGTAACCACCCCTTCAGACTGAGACCTGGTTAGGGACTGACTCAAGGACCCCGAGTCCTGGGCTAAAGGTACAGGAGAAGGCAGGGCTCCAGGCCCAGCGAGGTGGATCTCCATCTGTCTCTGAGGACTGACCCTTTCCCTACCAGGACCTGCCATAAAAACCGACTTGTGGTTTTTAGCTGAGTGGCTTCTCTTTTCCACTTTGGGCTTCTCAGTGCATAGCAGGTTCAAGCCTGCAACCACCAAAGTGTAGAGAGTGGAGAGTTTGTGTCCCCTCTTTCCTCCAACCTCCATCTCCTGCCATGTGAGCTCAGGGAATGCAAATGCATTTCAATATCCCCCTAAAGCAAACATAATTAGAAAGATCAATCAGCTAGAGGAACCCCGAAAGTTTAATACATTTTCAATACCACCAGGAATGGATTTTTGGTCCCATTCTGCAGGTCTCAGTTGCCAGATGTTTTATTTCTGGGGAGGAGGGCTCTGGGCTGAGGAGCTCAGTGGGTGGGAGGAGGAAATGGGACTGTTCCTAATTCCCAAAGAGGATCTCTGTAGACTGGAGGGAGGGGACCTTACTCCCTCCCCTACCACAGATGCAGGAGTCACCCAGCTTCCTTCTCCACAGCTGTTTCCCTCACAAATTAGACACTGGTTTGGGAAACAATGTAGCCTCGTTAATCATTTAATGAAATGAAATAAACAACTAATCACACTGTGATGCCAGTGTTTTTTTTTTTTTTTTTTTTTTTTGAGATGGAGTCTCACTCTGCCATTCAGGCTGGAGTACAGTGGTGTGATCTCGGCTCACCGCAACCTCCGCCTCCTCCCGGGTTCAGGCAATTCTCCTGCCTCAGTCTCCTGAGTAGCTGGGATTACAGGCACGCGCCACCATGCCCAGCTAATTTTTTGTAGTTTTAGTAAAGACGGGGTTTCACCATATTGACCAGGATGGTCTCGATATCTTGACCTCATGATCCACCCGCCTCGGCCTCCCACAGTGCTGGGATTACAGGCTTGAGCCACCGCGCCCGGCACTCTCTTCAGTTTCTTTTCTCTCATTCTTCATTGTAACTATATCAAGCCTCTTAATGACTCTTTCTTATTCCTGCTCTTCCATAAATGACCTTGCTGTCTGTTTTCCAGAAACATAAAAACATATTGACATCTTTTTCTCCTTTGTTTCCAGCACCATGTAAGAAGTGACCCATCTTTATGTGTAAGACTTCTGCATCTGGATTCTTTGTCCTTCTTCTTCCCTTAGGTCTTTCTTCTGTTGAGTCCTTCTGATTTTTTTTTTGTTTGTTTCTTTGGTTTCTTTTTTCTTTTTTGAGATGGAGTCTCGCTCTGTTGCCCAGGCTGGAGTGTTGTGGTGTGATCTCAGCTCACTGCAACCTCCACCTCCCAGGTTCAGGCGATTCTCCTGCCTCAGCCTCCAGAGTAGCTGGGATTATAGGTGGGTGCCACCATGCCAAACTAATTTTTGTATTTTTAGTAGAGATGGGATTTTATCATATTGGCCAGGCTGGTCTCGAACTCCTGACCTCATGATCTGCCCCCGTTGGCCTCCCAAAGTGCTGGGATTATAGGTGTGAGCCACTGTGCCCAGCCTCTTTTCGTTTTTCATAAGTTATTGGGGAACAGGTGATATTTGGTTGCATGAGTAAGTTCTTTAGTAGTGATTTGTGATATTTTGGTGCACCCGTCATCTGAGCAGTATACACTGCATTATATTTGTAGTCTTCTATTCTTTGCCCCCCTTGCACTCTTCCCCTCAAGTCTCCGAAGTCCA